CTCTGTAGCATGTGATGCCATCTTGATGGCATTTTGAAAAAAAACAAAAAAAAAAAAAAAAAAAACCAATAAAACAAAACAACAAAACAAGCTCTAATAGCTAAAAATAGCAGCAACTTCAGCAACAAAGAGAAGAGAAAAAATGCTAAAACAAATTTATAAAAAAATTTACCTATAGAGGAAGGGACCAACTATAATAGGTATATATATATGTTGCAATATATTGCTGGGACACCAGGTGACACTGTGGTTTTTTAGGGGATGGAGAACCCAGCTGGGAACCTTTCTCTAGTTCCCAGGCATGGTTCTGTTTCTCAACTTAGTTGCCCTTGGTGATCGCCTGATTGTTTCCTCAGCACTCAGACCCTGCTGGTTTAGGATCATAAAGCTCTACAGAATTCTTCAGAGGCAGGTTTCACAGTGTCCCCTAACAATAGTTTCTGTGGGGTGTGGGAGCTACTGAGCCTTTCCCAAGAGTGGAGTTTTGATCTCAGCAGGAGCAACAAAGATGATGTGCTTTAGGCCCCTGGTAAAAGGCCCCACCCTCATGACCTTCTCACAACCTTCCCACAAGGGCAGCCCCCCTGGCAGCCAGGACCTCCCAGTATAGTTGCCCCCCACCTGTTGCCAAACCAATGGCAAATCCACTCCAACTGGCAGTGAAATATGGCTGCCTTATATTGTTTGAGTCCACCCACTCTTCCAAGATTTCTGTTCAACATGCAGCTTCCTCTGAAAACTGAAAACTGCATAAGGCTTCCTCCCATCCCCAGATCTCCATGGGGGGGGGGGCAGCTGTTCCTGCAGGCTCCCAATCACTTGCCTAGTGGGTCAGAGCTCCATCCCTCGAGATCACACACTGTCTCCTGTAAACTATCCTGCACACCCCAAGCTACGAAGACTCTTGGTAAGGTCCCTGCACCAGGTATGACTGGGTTCTCTTTCTTTCCCAGTCACATTAGGGGAGCTCAGCCAAATGATCCTTCTGATCCGCCATCTTGCTCTGCCCTTCCTATTGGTTATTTTCTAGGTGATAGGCACTACCTAGGGGGCTTTGCAGTGATTATTTGATGTTATCTTCACACTCATTATTATAATATAGGTATTATTATTTCCATTTTATAGACAATAAAACTGAGATGTAGTAAAATGAATTAACCTGCCAAGCCTCACAGTTATGGTGTTCTGAATGCCAATGTAGTGGAATATAATAACTCCAATGTTCTCCATGTGTTAGCTACCTCTTTGTAAAATTTTGTAATGAATATTTTGTAAATAAATGTTCACTTAGCTACAATTTCCCATTTTCCCTATGTATAGCAAATTTAGGGACAACCTTTGGGACACCTGTATGTTATGATGTAAAGGAAGAGTAGCAAACTTTGAAATGATAGGTTTGTCTAGGACATGGAGAGAGAAGTATGAATGCTAGGTGAGGACAGCACCACTGATTCTTCCCTTACTTGAAGGTCCAAATCCCATTTCCTTTTTAGTCATGTAGAGATCACATGAAAAGACTGCAAGGCTTGTTGGAGTCTGTGGAGTGTGACACCTGAAGAAATAGTATTATATCTGAGTACAAAGTATTTTTCATGGTTTCTTAATACTGTGATAGCATCAGGATGTTCTTCCTCTGCCTCAGAGGACAAAGTCACATGTAGATCAACACTCAGGCCCTGTAGCATGAAGTAAGAAGCAAACTGATCACAATTATTTTCTTGTATTATATTCCATTTATTTTATTGAGAAACTACTATGTAAAAAATAATTCTATACTAGATACTGTAGAAGATAAACAAAAGCAAGACTTCCTCAATAGTTCATATTAGTGGATGTAGCTTTAAGTTTATTATGAAACTGCATAGCTGTTTCCTTCACTCAGCCACTAAAAGTGGTCAAGAAAGTGAGAGGTTGTGGAGACCCAGTGCCAGGAACTAACTGCTTCATTCACAGTTAGGGAGTGAGGAACTCAGGGAGAAGCTCTCTGATTCATCTATTCCTAGCAGGAGACATTCTGTTCTTGCTGTCATCTTATTTACCCTGTTGTAATAAGTCTATTTATCAAGAGAACTGTTTCATCAAACACTGTAGTGCATGCACCAGGGCTATGCTCAATGTCATCCCAGTTCAGACCTAGATAGTAATCCATGTGCCATGGGGGTGGGAGAGGGAGTGTTTCTCTTGAATCAAAGGTTAGTGGAAAAGCCTTCACACAGGAGTTACAAATTAAATTTATCCCTAAGAGGAAGAGAATAAAGAATAAATCTGATTTGCTCTCTCCTTCCTATACCCTCACTCTCTGTACCACATTATGTACATAACTTTAGTCTCACCATTTCTTAATTTTTTAGCTATAAACTATTTATTGTAATATAAATGTAAAAGGTCAATATAGGCAATTCAGAGATATGTAATGAAAACAACCAAAATCACACATAATTATGCCAGCCAGAAATAACCACAGTTAACATTTTGGTATATTTCTTTCCTTTCCTACATGTACATATTTTTTCCCACAAAGCTAAAATCATGCATATGTGCATTGTAGATTAAGTTTTATATTGATTTTTTTCACCAAAAATTTATGGTGAGCATGATGCCCATGTTATTTAATTATTCTTCAAAAATGTGATTTTTTTAAAAAGTGGGTGCAGAATTATTCCTCAATATTGGATGTTATAGTGTTCTTTTAATCCCATTCCTGCACCATAACACCTTGTGTACACTTCTTTTAGCCAAAAAATACAGCCATAAAAATATTAAGTCATAAGGAGCTCTTTGCTGAGCTTTTGCAGCAGCAGCTTGGTAATGACTGGATCGCCAAGCCCTCTCCCTGGGGACTGTCACATAACTGTCCCTTGAAGACATGCTGACTCCACCTCACTTGCTTCTCACCTCACTGATAGGAAGGACCAGCTGTAATATAGGTAAGCTCTTTCAATAAAGGAACTATTTATGTGGGGGGAAATTATTACCTGTGACTATGAACTTGAAAGCCAAATGTAATGTGATTGAAGTGCCAGTTGAGTCTGTTCCTTTCACACTTGTGCCACCACATAGAGCTACTTCATAGACTTTTCATTGTTTTTCTACAAATCAGAGGTGGGAAGGGTAAATAAAAGGCAAGGGTGCACCAATGTAGTTTCTGGGTTTGGCATCGTTTATACTTGTCTTTAGTCGTGTATGAATTTCTTTTTTCTGCACCTTTTTTTCTTTTTCCTGTTATATAGTGAAACTTTGTAAGAATACCAGTCTCAATTTAATTCAATTAGATCAATAAACACTTATATCTATGATGTAGGGAACACCAGGGTGAGTATGTGAAAAACAACTTAGCCCTGACCTTGGGGAACTTACAGTCTAGTAGGGGTGATTAAATATGCTTATAAATAACAAGAAAAAAGCAGACCTGATTATAAGAATATTTAATGATGGAGAAATTCTTATAAAATAGTGTCATGAGAGAAATCAAACTGAACACTAAACTGTACAAATTATTTAAGTATACATGTAAAAGAATGAAGAAATACTACAAAATGGTAATAGTGAGTAATTAAAAGTGATTTTAATATTTTTCTTTATTCTTTTATATATTTTTTAAAAAGTTTACAATGAACCTGTGCTACTAATAGAATCATTAAAAATAAGCTTTATTAAATGAGTAGGAATGCTATCTAATAGTTCAGAATGTTATATAATAGTGCAGTGAAAGTGCAAAGGAGCAAAGGTAAAATCTGACTAGGGTGAGGGGAAATCAAGGAGGTTTTAGGATTTAAGTCTTTCATAACAATAACAAACTTTTACATCTTAGAAATAGCTATAAAATTTTACTGCGTTGAAAAGGCATTAGTTCTACAACTTTTCTTTCCCCAAACTTTAGTCTCTCTATTAACTATAACTCTAGTAGCTGTTATCTGCCATATTATCATAACTTTAAATTTTATGTTATTTTAGCTACTCTTTATAATATCTTACTACATGTAACACAAAGAGAGACTGTCTAGCTCAGTAGATGACATCACTCATGTCTTATTCATAGTTAGAGTACATGGATTAGCAAAGAATCTTACCACTTGTCCCACTAACCCCAGAAATGATGTATTTGGTCATTGTCCTGCTCCTTTATCATTGTGTTTTTCTGAAGATTTCTGTGTCTGTTAATATTTAACCCTCTAAGCTTATATTTCCCAGGGTCTAACAGGCCTCTTAGGAAAGAGACTTATTGTAATATTCCATCTGCTTATCAGCTCATGAGCTTCCTGTTTCAGTGGATGCCCTGGGCGATATGGCTTCCTATGGTATGTAATTGCAGTGGTTTGTTAGGACAGAGTTAGGTGGAATCCACAGGCTTCTGCTAACCTGTAGGATGAGAGTCTTGGCTTTGTGTAACCCTGAATGAATCGTTTATGCTCCCTATGCCTTAATTCCTTCACCTATAAAGTAGATAAAAAGATAGTACCTACTTCATAGCCTTATTTTGAAGATTCAATCTGGTATTTGTAAGCATTTGATGTATAGTTGCCATTCCTATGAGGTATCGACCTGGAATATTGTGGTGAGTTTTTTCCTTTCTCCTTAATAAATAACAGGAAGAAGAGGAGGCAAGACAGTATGTCAAGAGGGCATGATTATCTGATCTTTCTTTGAAATAATAAGGGACAAAAGAGCATATTAAGAAATAATAATACAATGTGATTCATGCAACCCTAAAAGTATGTTCAAGATAAAGAAGGAATGGTTATCTCAGTAAGGAACTGGGGAAGGCTTTAAGACGTGCTAATTGGGAAAAGTTTTGAAAGAGTGAATAGTAGTGAGTGGATGAGGGTGTGATGAATGTGCCAGGCATGGAGGGTTTGAACAGAACCATGTACCTGGGATGGTACTAATAGAACTCAAAGGTGGGGGAAGTAGTGAAAGAGGAGGGTGGCAAGGGAGACTGGACCCTGCTTGCGATTATCAGTGTCCTTATCTGTATATAGATGTGCATTTGTGTCATAGCTTCTCAAAAGGGCTGTGAGCTCCTTGAGTCCTTTCTCCCACCCCTTCCAGAGCTGGCCTAGGGTCATTAATACTGTTCCCATTACAGTGCATCCCTGGTTGTACAGACTCATTTAGCACTGCCTCTTGGTTATTTTTGTTCCCCAGAATACTTGTGTATGTACTAGTTGTATCTCCTCTACTTCAAACTTCTCCCAACAACATCCAGAGAAGCCAGTGTGTCCTGCTTGGGAAGCTGTCACTGGTCCCTCAAATATCATCTTCGGAGCTGACTCCAGATCCAAATGAATCCAGCTGTGACTCACCAAGAGATACAGATTTGCGTATTATTAAAATAGGGTCCCAGGTTCATATAGCAAAATAAGCAAACTGGCACAGGGTCAGCCTGAATTAACTTGACTCAGTAGACATTCCCATGGAGTACTGAGGCGCTGGAAGCCCTGCTTGCTGAGTGTGCATCTGGTGGGTATGCAGCCTAGAGAGAGGCCATCCTCCACCTCAGTACCAGGTAGCTCCCATCATGCTGGTCCACACTCTTTCTTGGCTGAAATTTTCTACCTTTCTTTTTGTTCCTTACAGAATGTCTTTCTTTTTGGTGACTGTCAACATACTTCTTCTTCATGGTGCAGGTGAGTCATTTTTCAAAACACTGGGTATTTCTGAAATAGCTTTGGGAATAGTGAGGAAAACAATAGTTTGGAGATAAAAAAACAAGCAAGCAAGCAAGTGATTTAATGTCTCTGAACCTCAGTCTTTTCCTTTGATAAATGGAAATAACAAGTACTTGCTCTATTTGCCTCACAGGAAAAGGTAAAAAAGCAGATGGAAAAATATAACAGACATATATTATAAATCATTATTGTTTATTTTACTTACTTTTTTTAAATGAGAAAAGTCTCCATCCCACCCAAACACCCATTTGGTTTGTCCATTTGAGGCCACACTTGAATTCAGATCTATAGTGTAAATCCCCTCACCCAAAAAACCAAACTAGACTCCCACCTTCAAGTGACTCTGACAAGTGCCAATTTATAGCATAGCATGCAGAATATTAAAAACAGGTCTGTCCTGAAAATTCTGAATGGGTAGTCAACATCCAGTTTCTTTAACTCTTTCTACTCAATTCTATAAAAATATTGATGATGAACAATGTACCAATATATAGATGTTGGAACTGTTAATGTAATTCAGCTAAGCAAAAGTGTGTAAGCAAATGTTTCTAAAAAAAATTCTGTGTCCAAAACCTGCCATATAACTACTCCACAAACTGATCTAACATATTTACAGTCTTCAAGCATGTGCCATCTCTCAGGGACATAGAGCAGTTCTGCCAGTCTCTTAAAAGTGGCAGGAGCTTGAAGTCATCCTCAGGCTCAACGTTATATTTACTGGCTCTTTCTCTTGATGCTGATTTGTATTTGTGTGTGTGTGTCCAGAGCGAAGTAGTAAGGCAAAGTGAGGTGGTAATCTATTCACAGGAAAAACTCAGCTAAATAAATTAAAGGAGCAGAAGTGTATGAAGGATAGAAAGAGAAAGGTTTATCTGTTAGCTCTAATAATATATTACATTTTATAGCAATATTAACGACCTAACGCTATGTGCTAGGTACTATAGCAGGTGCTTTGGTCATAGTATCTTTCTACAGTTTATAAGATTTTTGCTGAGCTTTAGCCTCAGCTTCTTAGGCTTTGGGAAGCTAATGGTACAATAGTCTAGAAAAACACAAATTGAAATAAACAAAGGAGTTTTTCAGATTCAAGTAGGACCACTTGCAGACATGTCAGTCAGAAGCTGGCTTGTATATTACCAATTACATCAGCAGTAGATGGTGTTTCATGATTCATTGGCTAGAGCTTTTGGGTTTCCGAATCTGAGACACTTTCCCATGGGGCCAGAGGGTACAGCTGTGGTAAGATCTCCCGGGTATAACCCAAGAAGCTAGAATGAAGGGCCCCTTGTGAATAAGAGAGAGGCTGGGGAAAGGGCAGACTATAGTGTCCATCCATCTGCTCTACTCCCTCTGTCCCTTTGAAAAAATGACTGAGTCATGTCATATAAAAACAGTCCCTAAGATCCAAAGGTATTTCATAACAACCCTGGGGCAGGTATTATTATCACAATTATATATGAAGAAACTGTAACTTAGATCATCATCACTTTCAAGATGCCAAATGACTAGTAAGAGGGGTACTTAGAACTAGAACTTAGATTTACAATTCTTAAGACCAGGATTTTTTTAAATTATAAAACACTATTTCTTGATTATAACCACATCAGAAAAATAACAATAATTTGAATAAGAAAGTACTTAGTCTTTTTATTTGTAAGTCTATCCCTCTAAAGGTTATGTAAGTTTCTTCTTGCCTCCTTTCCAAACTTTCATCATTTATATTCATTCATTTATTTAATTAGTCATTAATTCAAACTTAGAATGGGTGCCTCCTATTAAAAGATGAAAGAGCACATTTCAAATGGAGGGCTTTGGAGCCAGACTGTCTGGGACTGAATCATAACGCTACTACTCACTAGCTGCATATCCTTGAGCAACTTACTTCACCTCACTGTGCCTTGAGTTTCTCAGTAGTAAATTGGGGATAACAATAGTACCTGGTTTAGTGTAGGTATGCAGATTATATGAATTAATGCCAGAACAGCTTTTAGAATGTGTGTAACACATTGCAAATAGTTGATAAATGTTACCCACTATAGTCAGGGTCCTCCAGAGAAACAGAACAAATAGGAGGGAGGGAGGAGAAAGGGGGAGGGAAAGGTAATGACGATAAGGAATTGGTCCATGCAATTACGGAGGGTGAGAAGTTCCAAATCTGCAGTTGGCAAGATGGAGGCCTACATGAGTCTTGAGTTCAAAGATTTGTGACCCAAGAAGAGACCACGTTTCAGATCAAATCCAAAGGCAGGAAGACTGCACAAGCAGGCAGACAGGAGGAGTTCCCTCTCTTACTTGTAGGAAGGTCAGCCTTTTCTGTTCTATTCAGGAGTTCAGCTGATTTGGTGAGGGCCACCCACATTAGGGAAGGCAATCTGCTTTACTCAGTCTATCCATTCAAACGTTAATCTCATTCAAAAACGTCTTCACAGACACACCAAAATACCCAGGTACCCCCCTTAAGCACCATGTGGTCCCCACTGCTGGAATGAACAGATCATTTCTGTTACTCAGCTGGTAAGGCCCCTATTGGATGTCTCTTGGGCTGTGGTTTGCTAGACTGGTGGCTTGGAAGTGTCCTTACCTCCTAATTTATCATTTGGATGTGCTCTTGGTGCTTCACCTCTTTTTTCTTCTATTTCATCTCATTCATTTTATCAAGCAGTATCCTTTGTCTCACATCGACTAACTCTTCCTCCTTTCTGCTACGTATTACCTGCTGGTGTCTTTACAGAAAAAAAAAATTGCCTTCTTAATGGAGTCTCTACCTTTATAGTGCTTCAATCTCATTATTCCCTCTTACTCAAATTGGGAATTTAATTAATCTTTTTGGGCTTGAAAGTTTGGTAACCAGGATGCTAAAGGTCCTTTTAAACTAAGAGGTCTAGTGTCTTTCTGTAGCACATTGTGATCTTAATCAACTTTGTTTCCTGGGAATCAGCTTTTTCTTTTAATAACCAAGACATTTGAGAGAAGAATTCTGATTCTGAAGGCTATATTGTAAGTAGTCAGAGAGATATTGTTTTGATTGAAGTGTCAAAGGAGTGGAGATCTCACTGATTTGGTCTCTACCTGGCTATCACTGGCAACCTCTGGGCTAGGCTCTGGGGGAAATAGTTCAAAAACACTGAATCAGATGATCTCTAATCTAATAATTGTTCCAGTTATAACATACTAGGATTCTGTTCCATGTCATGATCTTTGAATAATTGTAGGCATAGCTATATTCTGCACAACTCTCAGTTCCTACTATTGATACCTTTTGTCCAGTCTGGTAGATATTTGTGGAAGGTAGAATAGATTTACTTACTGAATATCTATTTCTGCCTTTCTGATGTGCCTTCCAGAATTGCTGAAACTGGAAAGTAAAAAACATTTCCAAGATTCCTTTGAAGTTAGGATTCTAAGAGAGACTTAGGTTTTGCCAGTCAGACACATTTGCTCAAGAATTAAGTTGGCAACTGATTGAAGTGGGGAGAAAGGTGATAGTGCATGAAGCACCTTTTTCTTTGGCCAGTGTGAATTCAGCAAGTACAGTTTGGCTCTGGAGGAAACACCTATACTGATGACTTTCTGAATCACCAGCTTCTTGATGAAGCAGAGGCCATAGCTCCTCTGTCAGAGCAGCCCTGCAGAGTTCTGAGCCTAGTATAATGTGGGGGAGGACAGACATACATATTGCAAGTCTCACCTTCTATGCCCTTCTTTGGGCTCTTCCCTCCAGCCTTCCAATGATTCTGTATAGTTTCTTGTGCTAAAACCCTTTGTGCTTGAAATAGCTAGACCTATTTCTTTATTTGATATTAAACCCTACGTGATGCAGTGTTCATTGGTGTTTACTAAATTCATTTCTCCTTAGGGTCTACAGAAGAGCTGCAGGCCTATCCATTCACTGATGTTACCCTTTCCTGCCATTTCTCTTTTGTGAAGGGCACGGAAAATCTTGAGTTTTCTTGGGAAAGAGAAGACATCGAAGAAGTATATGAGGTAGAGGATAAGGAATATTACCGCTTTTTCAGGTACTATGATTTTTTTGAAGTTTTCTCAAAGTTGGTTTACCAGTTTTACAATAATACAGAGCAACTAGAAGATCAAAACTCTTTGTATGAGGGAAGAGTCTCTGTGGAACAGGCTGAAATTTCTGAGGGGAATCTATCCCTTTTACTAAGAAATGTGGATTTCATGGATGAAGCTATCTACAAGTGCTCAGCCATCACACCAGACGGAAGAGGTGAAAGGACAATTAAGTTAATAGTAGAAGGTAAGGGAATTTATTGGAACTTGATTTCAAGCTCTGTATCTTTTCATAAGGATAAATTGTAGGTTTTCTTTTTAGGTGTTCTCACTTTTTCTCTTCTACTCAAATTGTTAGTTCCTTCTTATTCCCATGATGAGGATCAGGTGTTTGAAATGTCAAGTCATCTTAGCTAAAAATATTGTTCTGAACAAAAGGCATTGTACCTGTATCTGCATGCATTACTCACTCATACACACAAACAGAACATTAAGAAAAAGACAACAAAAAAACACTGGTCATAGCCCAAACTCTCCAATAAATTGTCATACTAAAAAGGCAAAATGTCATATAACAGAATAGTCCTATGTGAAAACTCTAAGGTATGAGGTGGAGTTTAGGGAGAAGAGCCCTGTAATGAGAGTCAGGAGGCCCAAGTTCTAATTTTGTATGACTCTGGGTAATTTTCTTAGCTTTCCTAAGCTTCACTTTTCTCACATTTAAAATTATATTGAATTAGATTATCATGGATTTTCATAGGGTACCAGGGATCCTTGCCCTTTACAGGATTCCATAGAGAGCTTTTTCCCACCAGAGACCTCATGGGGATTGGGGGAGGAATGGTGGAATTCCTCCAGGATAAGAGTTGAAAGAGATAAGGAGGTGGTGGCGAAAATCATTTATTATCTTCTGTGATTTATAGGAGAGTTTCTGAAGTCACCAGAGAATTTAGAACA